GTATTTAGTAAATTTAATAAATACTATAATTATATTAGAATACTTTTTACCAGTTTCATCACAATTATAGACATCTTTTCAGGGAAATTGAATGGTTAGTAGTATATTATTATAAATATATTATTTTTCTTTTTCACTAATAATAACAATTACAAATTAAAAATTTAGGACAAAAAGCCATCATGGCTGGCAAACTCGATATTAAAGGTTATAATATTTCTAAATTATATAAAATATTAAACGTTACTTCCGGAGCGAAACTTTACTTCAAGAAAAGTAAAATCGAATCATGATTTTGCCAGGGGGTTAATAGAACAATAACAATAAATAATTTTTGTACATATTCATCAAAATTATATCATCCTTTGATCCCTTCTTTCTTATTCTAATACCATCAAATAAGCATCTCTCTCAGGCTGATAATAATCTTTAACCAATTCTTTAATTTTGAAACCAAATTTTTCATATAATTTAATTGCAACTTGTCTTTTAACATCAACATATAGTTCAGCTTTACTTTTTTCAGGAACTTTATTGGTGTAAGATATAAATTTATGCTAAGCCTATTCTTCTTTTGGTTCAGATTTTGTTTGCTCAGTTTTGTATTTAGCCTAAGCATGCTTTGTTGTTTAGCAATTCAAGTTCACTTTCCTGATTTATACTTGATTGTAAATTTTTTTGCTGTCTTCTCTTGATCCTTTCATCGTTTAGTTGCTTTAAAATAATTTTGTAGTTAATAAGTTCTTGGTATTTGTAATTCTTGTTTTTTTTTTTTTTTTCAATACTTTATTATTGGTTCTTGTATCTAATCTTTCTTTGCCCAATTCTCTCACTTTTTCAATAAAATCTAAATGAATCTTGGATTCTTCTTTTTCCTCTTTTGACATTTGAACTTCATTTTTTAAATTGGCCATGGTTCCTAGGAATTGTTATATCCGCTCAATGAAAACTCTTGAAATTATCGTCTTCTCTAATAATCCAAAAATATATTTTTTTAAAGCCTTCACATCCTCGTTAGTTCATCCTTCTTGGGCAGTCAACATAATGTTATGATTCTACTTTCCACGGCCCAAACTTTTTATGAACATCATAACATGTTCTGTTGTTATTTCATCAAGCCTTTTAATCCATAATATCATTTTCATGCCTTCTCACTTTCGTTTTTGAAAGGTTCATTATTCATTACTGTGGTGGCAATCATTAATTAATTGAATAAGAACGTTCACCAACTCAGGCACATACTGTTTCCACTTCTTTGTAAATCTAACTTGTTCTTATTAATATTTGATTTTATGTGCATAATATGTAGATAGGATAATAATAATGAGTGATGAAGATGTACTTGATGTCTTCACGATCCATCAAGTGACACAAGAGCATGGTGGAATTGATGATCATTCGTGATGTATGAATATATTGTCCTACATTCGATTTCGTAAAAAACATGCAATTAAAATAAATAGAAATAATAATTTTCATAACGGAAAATAATTAATGTAAATAATAGATAGATATTGTTTTTAATTCTTTACCAATGAATTCTCAAGCAAGGTAAGTGGTATTAGAAGCATTAAAAACAAAGTTTTCCAAAATGTTGCTATCAACTAGACGAGTTGAAGGAATTCAATAGCAAAATAATAATCTATCTTCCACGTATACCATTTGTTCTATCTATTCTTCATGGAAGTTACATCATAAATGAGGGAGCTTGCTGGATGTTCTATGAAGATAATCAATTCATTATCCCTATAAATTTTTTTTCAGAAAATGTATTAGTATTAGAATTAGAGTACAGTCGGCGCTCGATATAGTGAACCTACTGTATAGTGAATCGTACGATATAGTGAAGATGGAAAATTTCCCATTT